AAATCGATTTTAAGTCTATGAATAGTCTCACTGAAGTCACTTCTAGGCCTTAAATGACTAGCTGGAGGACTTTGGGCCTGAATGTGTCAGGGTGGGTTTTAGTGTGTTTCTTTGGTTTTTATAATGAATACCATTTCCATTAGTGAGGAGCTGTAATATCATCCAGAAAGAATTGTCGTGTTGTATATTTACGCATGAAATAAACTTCTTCACCTACTTTAATATGAGAAGTGTTTTGGTGACGTTGCTGCCGCTCTGGTGTTGTCACTTGATCCCGATAGAGCAGTCGTTCTTCTACCATATGTTCCTTCTCATCACTTCCAGGGACTTAGATTTAAAAGAAAGGAGGCATTGCTCGTACAGGCTGGCCTGTGCAGATTTCTGCCTAAGTGGATATCCAGAGGGCCCCTTACACATGCCCAGGTGATAATTGTCACAGTGTACAGTTACATTTGTGACAGAGCTATGAGGAGTAAGCAATAGGGGGATCCAGCTGTCGTGCTGCACAGGAACGTGGCGGTGCTTCTCAAGAAGTGGGTCTTGACTTCTTCCTGAGAACCGTGAAGGACTACTAGGAAGGTAGAGAGATGTTGAAAACATGTAATAATAGGAAGCCAAGAAAATTTTGCTCCTTGTGGCTCTTCCCATTCAAGCTCAAATGTTCTCTCTTTGGTGCCTTGAAGTGCATGCAGAAACAATACAGGCCGTCTTGGTCTTTGTGGTGGTTGGTACTGGCTGGAGGCCAGGTGCCCTCCAAAGCCACTCTGTCACTCCCCAATTCAGCTGGACAGGGGAGAGAAAATATAACAAAAGTTTTGTGGGTCAAGACAAGGACAGGAAGATCACTCACCAGTTACTGCCACAGGCAAAACATCCTCAACCTGAGGAAGTTAGTTTAATTTATTACCAATCAAATAGGGTAATAAGAAATAAAACCAAATCTTAAAACACTTTCCCCTCACCCCTCCTTTCTTCTGGGGCTAGACTTCACTCCTGATTTCTCTCCCTCCTCCCCTCCAGCAGCGCAGGGGGACGGGGAATGGGGGTTGTGGCCAATCAATCACATGTTGTCTCTGCTGCTCCTTCCTCCTCGGGGGGAGGACTCCTCACTCTTCCCCTGCTCCTGCGTGGGCTCTTCTGTCCACAGGTCCTGCCAGGAGCCTGCTCCAGCACGGGGTCACAGCCTCCTTCAGGCACCCATCTACACCAAGGGCTGCAGAGGAATCTCTGCTTCGGCACCTGGAGCACCTCCTCCCCTCCTCCTGCACTGACCTGGGTGTCTGCAGACCTGTTTCTCTCACATATTCTCACTCCTCTCTTCGGCTGTACTTACTGTTACCCAGGGGTTTTTTTCCCCTTTTCTTAATTGCGTTATCCCAGAGGTGCTACCACTGTGGCTGATGGGCTCAGCTTTGGCCAGCGACAGGTCCATCTTGGAGTCACCTGGCATTGGCTCTGTTGGACATGGAGCAAGCTTCTAGCACCTTCTCACAGAAGCCACCCCTGTAGCCCCCCTGCTACCAAAACCTTGCTGCACAAACCCAGTACAGTCTTTGATAGATTTTCTTTTTTACTTTGGCTTCATTTATGAAGACTTGAAATAATGCTCTAGAAATCTGAAGAGCCACTGAAGTGAGAGACTTAGTTACTGTTTTTTAAACACTCAGGGCTGACTTTCTTGAGAGCAGAGGGATACTTTCGATGGCATCATCTTGTCTTTACAGGGAAAAGCACAGGCGTGTCAGGCATTTTAAGTCAAGCGAGGAGTCTGGTGAGATTTCTCTGTGCATGTTTGGGGGTTTTAATTCCTATTGCTTCTTCAGTGAGCCTGGGGCTAAGAGGAGAGAGGTGCTGTTGTGCAGGTTTTTCTAATTCCCTTCTGGCGTCTCCTGGATGGAATATTCTTACCTTCATAATATCCTCCAATATTGATATTGTAAAGTGCACAGATAAATATCCTGTAAAATCATGATCCATTCAATTACTTGTTATTTTGTGTGGGTGTTGGTAGTCTCACTGTAGCTTCACAGAAACGAGACGGGTATTGCTGTGTTTCCTTGTAGTGATCACAGGGCAGCATCGCAGTGGTGTCATCTCTGCCCGAACGCGGATCGATGTTCTCCTGGACAGTTTCCGTAAGAAGCAGCCCTTCACGCACTTCCTGTCCTTTGCTCTCAACCAGCCAGCCATCCAGGAGAAGTTCCTGCAGTTCAAGGAGGAAGTGTTGGAGAAATGCTCAAAGGTAAGGAGCCATGTGAGGGTTAAAATCAAGCAGAAGCCCTTCCGCAGAGTGCCGTTTCATTTATTGAGATGGCTTTTTTGGCGTTTACCTTGAAGGCCTGACTCTGTTCTATTTCTTAGGAATGTGTTTTAATGGGTCTTTTACTTAAGTTGGTGGATCTGCTGTGAATTTGTTGGGTGCTGTTGTGAAATCTTGTGGAATGTGGAATGACTTACTTAGTAAATTGTTAGTAAAATATTTTGTTCTCCTTAGGCATTTGCCTAGGTGGGAGGATATCTAAAATTCAGAAGAGGGTTGGGGGGTTTTTTGGTGTTTTCTTTTTTGTTGTCTTTAATAGGAAAGTCACTAAATAATGTAGTGGACCTTTCTTCATTTTATGATTTCTACATACCTGTGAAACCAGGTAGGACTCACAAGTTTGCTGCTGCTTCTAGTTTGCTTTTCTTTTGGATACTGACAGTGAAGGAAGATGGGTGTCATTACTGGAGCGGAGCGAGAAGTGACTTGGTAGCACATGCCATCCTGCAAATGTAATCGTGTCCCTTCTTCCCCATGAGACTTTGTGCTGACAGTCCCTCCCACCTGCCTTCACATCTGACATTGAGAGCAGCAGGAAATAGGCACAGGGAAATGGGGGACAGAATGAAGTGAAAGCCGTGTATTCCCTGGTTTATTTTAGCCTGTTTCCAGTTTGGCAGAAGTGGTATGTCAGTGCACAGGGCCAGGCTGAGGAGAGGGAATGGTATTATTAAATTGCCATGTCCTCTGAGTGCTGGGCAGACATCTCGAGGCAAGAGAAAAGAGTTCCTCTTTGTGGCCGGTGCAGGTTAGACTACATACATGCAGCACGGTTTTGTGGGCTGATATTATTACCTTCATGTCCCTCACTTCTACTTATGCCTTTCAAAGGGGAAAATGTAATCTTGCAGTTAGCACAGCAGAAGAAGTTTAGTTTCCTACATCTTCATGCCGTGTGTGTGAATCATCTGGTATCTGGGGAGATGGGAGTTCTTGCTCTAGTTTTTGTGGTCATTTGCATGTTAGTTGTCTTCATCTCTAAGAGCAGAGCTGAGCTGGCTCTGCAGTCTTGTCTTTCCTGTCAGTTCTGATTTAAGTCCCTCTTCTCCACCAAGCTTCCTATTTCAGTGACATCTTAAGAGTTTTCTGTCACTCAAGTTTCCACCTGATGTTAAATTCAACTGAAACTGGTGAACAGATCGAGGGATTAGCAACCAGTGCAGTGCCATGAGCACCCTCGGGCCAGTAGGGTATCACAGGCTCAACCGTCTATCCCCATTAGCCATTGTCAGCTACCTTTAATAAAGTTTACTTTTATTACAGGAAAGCCCTGAAGACAGGGGGATGGAAATGTGAGCCTGAGAAAGTGCTGGCTGGACTGAGTGCTGGACTGCGGGCCGGTGTCAGTGGTGGCCTGGCTCCCTCTGTTGGTTTCTAGCTCCAGTCCTTGTGTGTGGACACACTAAAGTTACAGGGAGAGAAGCAGATCTTTAGGGGGGCTGGGTACTTCAGCATGGGGCTCTGCTAGTGGCTGTTGATGCCATTGGTTCTGGACTGAGACCTCTGCTTTCAGTGTGGTGTTTCTCTTGCTCCTTGTCTCCTTCTCCATCTCTTGTCCCTCCTGGTGGACAGCAAACCCAGCCCTGCCTGCTGTGCAGAGCGGTGAACTCAGTGTCATCCTGTACGTCTTGCTGTGTTCTGCCTTCCAGGCTGCCTTGGTGTCAGACAAATCCTTTCCGCATTACATCTCTAAGATGTGGCCTCTTCTGTTCATCTTTGCAGCTAATGCTGTCATCCATGCTGTCATCCTGGGTTTTTATTCCTGCAACACTCTGGCTCACATGGCACTCGCTTTTCTTGTGGAGCCCTCATTTTTCCTGCCTGCTGCTTTGGTTGCATCACTGCAGCCCTCCGTTGGCCCAGCCTCTGCTGGTGATCTTACTTCCTCTCCAGACCCCTCCTCATCTGTCTCTGTCACATTGGTTGTCTCTTGCTCACTCCTAAGTATCAGTTTGCATTCCTCGATAGGCAGGGACGTCTGCCATCCACTTAGAAACATGCTTATAAATTTATCTCAGTGCTTTCCCCAGCGCTGTCAGTCATGTTCAGAAGGAGCTGCCTGGGAACATCTGCAAACTTTCACGTGCTCCTTGTCCTGGAAAGCTCCAGAAACCCAAATGTGGCCAGTGGAGTACTGAAACCGCTGCCAGACAGGCTAGTCATGTTAATTTTTGCTCCTCTTGCCTGACCTTCCGTCTCTCTTGCCATGTTTTCGTTCTGTATCTGGACAGCGCTAGTCCTGGTCAGGGATCCTGCCCCGTGGGTGTGCACGTGGGAACACATCTCAGCCTAACAGCTACTTCTGGATTTCAGTAACCTCAGCCTTGAGCTGCACTCAGAAGCAGTACTCGGGCATGAATCCTCCTAATACCAGTAACAGCAATATCTCCGAGAAAGTGTGGCACTCAAGGCACAGTGTGCCATTTGCTGCTGCTGAATCACCAAGGTGCTTTCGGGATTCTGCCAAAATGGCAGCAGCTGAAGCTGCCCTATAGCAGGACAGATCTATATGGGTCTGGGGCTGCAGTTGCTGCTCAGCAGGCTGCGGGGGTGCAAGGTGCCCTGGCCTGGAAGCTGCGGGGTTGTGTTGGCACTGCTCTGTGTCCTGTGCCTCTCTGGAGGGCTTGAAATGTTCCTGGTGCTGCATACCTCCGCTCTAAAGTTTCCTTTTTTAGTTTGAAATGTGGAATTCAGTCAGTGGCAGGTATTTGGGCATTTGCACATGTATAGCCTGGGAGTATATGGTGCTTTATTTTTCCGCCAGCCCTCCTCCTGGGATTAGCAAACGAGTTTCTAGATATATTGCAGCCTGTTAGTTCAAGGAGTATATCGTGGCCCCGTGTGTCTCTAAATCACCCCGCCAGCAGGTAATGCCACACTAATACCACTTTATCTCACAGCAGGGTCTGCTAGAAAGCACATCAGTAGAGAAAAACAGTAATTCAAAACTGTGCCTCACAGAGCAATAAGAGAACTTATAGATTTGGCCAAAACAATGGGATTTCTCAGGATACTTGGAGAAATCTGGATAGGTTTCAGTGACAGGAGCTTCTCTTCCTGTTGCAGTTTGCTGGTGCAAGACATTGCAGAATTAGGTAAACTCCAGTCTTAGAATGAAGCTCGATAGTAGCAGTAAGGAAGGGAAAGGACCAGGTGTGCGTGTGGCCATTGAGCATCTGTGAGGGGCTCTGTTTCTCTCTGAAGCAGTTACCATGACAACCATTCATTTCTATTTCATAGCACAGTGTTACGTTGGTGGGTATGTGCTTTCTAACTTCTTTTTTTTTTTTTGGTGTGTGTCTTTAGGACCTTTTATGAGATGAACCTTGTGTTAAAATATGGAGGTGTTGTCCACACTATTGTGCGGTCAGGGCTGCCAGGCAGTGAAGCAGGGCTGAGGGGAGGCTCTTCTCAGGCTGATTCAACGTAAATGCAGGGAGGTGACTCACCTGGACAGGATCGTTACTGGGCTGGTGCAGTGGGAGGTCCAGAGCACTGGATGACCTTGGAAGTCTCCTCACGTAGTCATGTAGGTGTCAGAGTGAGGAGAACTGAAACGTCTGTCTGAGTATGCAGGTGGAAAAGGGAAGAGACTTTGCAGTAATATTGCTGTGAAAAATCACAGTTGGGTCTTTGAGAGCCGTGCAAACGCAGCATTTGCAGTCTTAACAGGCTGCAGATGTGGCACGGAGAGGAAATATGATTGCTGTAATGTATGGCAACCTGTAAATATCAGACATTGCTAATGAGATATTCTGTCTCGGAGTGGAAGGGGCAGAAAATGGGAGGGGTTTTTGAGCCTGCAGTTCTTCAGTCAGTTGTGAGGAAATGGTGTTTTTCTGGCTTACTCCTTTGTTTGTGCATCAGGGTGGAAGAGGCCATATAGCTGGCATGTGGTATGCTGCTATTAAGAAAAAAAAAAAGCTATCTACAAATACTGGAGGCTGTTAAGGCTGTAGAGACGATGCAGCCAGGGAGAAAGAGCTCAGGAGTTTGATCCTTTGCCTCATCACACAGAAGACTTGACGTGTGTTGTGGTTGTTGTGGTCTATGGTTTCCCTGATACAGGGTCTTAGATTTGGAGGAACAATGTGCTTGGGCTTTGCAAAGAGACGTGAAGACTCCAGATAAAACCTTTTCCATGTTTCTTCTAAAGGAGGAGAGCAAAGGTAGAAGTCTAAGGAGCAGGTGGGAGGAAAAAAAAAGTTAATTTTTAAGGCTAAATGAGTGGAAATGAGTTGTTGTTTGACCGGGCTAAAGCTAAAATGGACAGTCATCACATATGGATGGTGCATAAAGGGGATATTCTTCCTGCCTCTCAGGACATCCTTAGAGAACCCAATTTTGAACAGTAAATTTTTAGAGAGATTATAAAGTCTGTTTTATACATTTCTATCTGCCAGCGAGTTCCTGCAAATGCACCACTTTCAGATTCCACCGTAGAACATGGGGATTCCCTGCTGCGACACCTCGCCTCCCCTGATCTGGCCCTCTGCTTTCATTAGGACTGGAAGCCACCGCTTGCCACAAGCCACTGCAATTTGTGCTTTCAGGAGTGCCCACCTTCCACTGCATGGGGGAGCAAACTGGTGAAAAAGGAGCTTGTCACCATGAGACACTTGGAGAGCACAGCTTAGATCCCAGTGGATCCCTCTGATGCTGAATCTCAGTCCTCACTCCTGCTTTTATGGTTGTAGCTTGCCTTGAGAGGGTTCCTTAGGTATTTGGCAGATGTCTCTAAGTCCCAAAATCACAGTGTTGACACGGTCGTTTCTCCTGGGCTCGTTCTTCCTGGAGGAGGACGTGATTTTTTTTCTTAGCAGTAGTTATGAACACCTATTTCTAGGCTCTGTGTTGCTGTTCTCTGGCCCTGCTGTCAGAGAACTGAAACCACTGGACAGGGTGGTTTCCCGTGAGGCAACACAGCATTGCTGATGGCATATCATAATCTGGGTTCAAATAAGTGGGTTCAAATAAGTAGTTTCAAGCTTTTTTGCATCTCGGCAAGCAGCATCCAGCCACGAAAGACTGCTAAGATGCCTGCAGAAACATTGCCTCTTCCAGGGAGAGCTACTTCTGACGAAGCATCTATTTTACACATGGGAGAAGTGGGATTGGCCGGCCTGTGAGTGTAAGCAGGGTTTCTGGGAACTGTCTGAAATACTAGGGACTAAACCAGAAAGATTATCTAGGTCTTGGCCTGCTCACTGTGCACTGCTAACCTCCCCAGCAGCGGTGGCACGGCTTGCGGAGGTGACGTGCCATCACCTTGTCAGCTGTCAGCCCACCCGCCGTTGCTGGAAAGCTCAGGGGAGAATGCTGCTTTTGAGGCAGGTTGATGTTTACAGTACAAATCGTGCTGGGGCAGAAAATGAGGGCAGGGCTTCTGCTTTCTGAACTACTTTCTCGTTACTGCAGGAGTGATGTTGGCCGGCTGTGCGTGGCAGGGATAAATAGAACTTTCTCCCAGTTTCTGTTGCCCAAGTTATATTTTTGTGATGGGCCAAATATTCTCCGGCTATGGATACCATTGGAGAAAAAAAGCTGACAGAGAGAAATCATGTCCTGTCATGTGTGTTAACAGCAAGATGAATTAAATGAAGCCACAAGGCTTTTACCACAGAGAAGGGAAGGTGAGATGGAGCCATCCCTTTTTCCTCTGCTCCTGATGTGCCTGACGTAGTTAGTCTGGGCTTGTTTCAGGCTGCTGCACGACGCTGAGGTTTGCAACACACTTTGCCACTACTAGCATGGTGCAATTTGGGATTTCAGTCAGAATTAAATTAATTAGCAGCAGTGGAAGGTAGGTACATGCTCTCTCTCTTCTGTGGACCACCACACTCTGCCAGCCTACAGCTGCCGGAGCAAGCCCCTGGGCTCTGCGTTGCTAGCTGGCTTGTTGCTAGTCCAGCCCATAAGCACCGCTGTAAAGAAGAGTATGGATGTTGTCATCAGGCATGAAAAATGCTGAGTGAGATTTGGGGAATTAAACTCTGAGGGGCTGAGATAGTGCAGTGTTTAAATGCCTGAAAGGTTTTATTTCAAGCTCTGAAGCACAGCTGGAAACTTCAAAGCTGTCATTCTCAGTCAGTGGACTTTTTTTTTCAGACAGAGAAAGGCTGCAGTGGCCTGGAGAGTTGTGTTGGCTTCTTCTGGAGTTAAAAGTGGAGGTTACTTAATGCACTGATGGAAATTGCCACTAAGTGGAAATAATTGTTTTAATATGGGTGTGTTAACCATCCTCCAGGTATTTTTATAAATATCCTAAAACAAAACAGCATGTTTTATAAAGCTGAGTGTAACCACTGCTCCACCTTGGAACAGTTCTTCCCCAGCAACAACATGTAGTTTTTCTTATAAAGGGAATTTAAACTTAATTCATCTCAGCAAACTATAGGGCACATGGGAACAAGAAAAACATAATTATCAGAGCTGGTATTAGCTGTGCTTGTGTTGTGAGGTACAACCTGTGTTTAGACAGGATTTAGAGACCATTTAAAGCTTGTCATTACAGCTGGTTCCAGCTTTATTGCACAAGAAATGGACTTAAGTTTTAAATCTGTGCTGACTTGTGTTGAGTTCACTGCTGACTGCAGCCACCGCTTTGACAGCTGTGGAAGTCTTCTGTCAAAATCCTGTACGAGTGAGTGCTGCTGTTCCTGGGTCCTGAGTTAGAAGCTGGTCATAATGAGCTTCCAGGCTGCTGCTGAGCAGCTCCGATGAAAAGGCAGACGGGGAGCATGTGTGCGGTGGGGAGCTGTGCCTTGCCTGCCAGGCTGAGCTCGCTCACTTGCAAAGACTGTGAAATATTTCTCGTTTCAACTTTTGAGTCACTACCAACCCGAGCAGCAATGCAGAGATAAAAGGTTTGATGGCAGTGGCTTGGTACCTGTTCTGTCATATTTATCCCTCTGATGGAAGGGTGGGGGTGTGTGTATGAGATAAGACACATACATATGATTGATTGACTGATTTGTAGGATCATGGGGTCAGCAGCAGCCTGTTCCAGAACCCTGCAAAGCTTCACCTGACTCTTGGGACGCTGGTACTTCTGAACGAGCAAGAGATCCAGAAAGCATGTGACCTCCTGCAGCGATGCAAAGAGGACTTTGTGGAGTAAGTGTTAAAAAAGGGATGTCATCACCAAGGGTACGAGTAGGGGAAAAGCAGCATGCTGTCTTTGACAAGGGGCAATGAAGAGAAAAGCAGCTCAATAGCCTGTTTCAACTCTAGAAATGTAGGAAAAGGCTGAAATGTTTCAAATGGGAGCAGAAGAAATCACCAAGCAGTTACAAAGAGTCTAACAGCGTCTCAGCTCAGCTCAAACCCTCAGCATTCCCTGAAAAGCTGCTCATTTATTTTTCTCGCATGCGTCCCCGTCTGTTTTTGCGTGAGCAATTTTTGCAGTTGTCCCCTTCCTGCTGCAGAGGGAGGGATGAGCTCTGGTACCTTCGCGTGTTGCCTGCAGCGGGCTCTGGCCCGCTGCTTCCCTCCTGCCTCAGAGCAGATGCTGAGTTGTCCTTGACACTCATTTCTTGATGCAGGGAGCTTTGTGCAGGGAAGCCAGTACGAGCCGTGTGAGTAATGAGTCTGAAACATTCAGTGCTGCTCTAGGACCAGGGCTTTCTCGCTGCCTGTCAACACAGAGCTGCAGATATTAGGGCTTTAACTGTAAATGTGGTTAAATGACACTGTAATTAGCTTATCTCTGCAGCTTAGAAATTTGAGATGGCCTGAGGGATTGGTTTATTTATTTATTCCTGAAGAGCCTTTGCACATAGAGCATGGGTCCTTGATTTTTTTTTTTTCATTTGTTACCTCTGTGCATGAAGAATTAGCCATGCCGTGCCAGGTAATATCTGTGGGAATTAGTGCATGGCCAAAATTCATACCTCTGCCTTTAAAGGGGTGGCTCCAGTTGTTCAGATGTTGAACAGAAATGCAATTGTGTTTCCAGGGGAAGGCTCTGCCTGCAGTACTTGGAAAGTGCCAGCTTCCTCATAAGTGGATTGAACTGAGGCAGAGAAAATCTTTCCTCTCAGTGTCCTTTAGTGGAGGGAGAATCAACACTTGTAGCTAACCTTTAGGTTATTTCCTCTGCAGTACCCAAATAAATATACTTTGAAAATTAATTTAGGCTCCCTTCCACCCACATAAACCTTCATTAGCATTCATTTGCGTTTCTAAAAGCAGGTAGTGCCAAGTGGAGGTAGATGGGTCCTTTTTGACCCTTTTTAGAATCAATGGCCTTTAATGCTCTTGGTGTGATGTGCACAACAGCGAGTTTGTGCTGTTTTTCTCCTGGTAAACCTACTGGAAGGGGAAATCACGCTCTCCTTATTCCACTGGGAGACTTTGCAGAGAATCTCCAAGGCAGTCTCTAGGGCAGGCTGAGCAAGGTTATAGCAAAGTCACACTCACATTGTTAAGTCGTGTTTATTACTTCTGCCTGCCCAGAAACTCCCTGTACTTTCCAGGAGAGCTTGACGTTAAATGAGGCAACAACACTTACGGGGAGCTTTTGGTGTGGTGCCCTGCCTCCCCGTGATGTTCTGGTGGTAAAAGCAAGGGAGGCGGTGTGTTTGGAAGCAGATACACTTTGCAGTGTGTTTGTAGGTGTGGGAGTGCGTATTATATCCCACACACATTTTTGGTTTCACCTTCCTTGCAAGCATAGCCAGAGCTGATTTGAAAACAGCTCTATTTGCTTCCAGCGTTTGTAAGTGGATATTGAAATGTACTTAAAACTGTATTCTGTGTCAAGTACGTTTCCCAGCGAAAATCAACGAGATAGAGACTTTGTGTCATGATCGCTCTCTTCGCACGGAAGGTGGAATGAGAACTTGTACCATTTTGCTGCTGATGAGTTTTCTGAAATGTACGTGGAGCCTTCCGTTTTGAGATGGCCTGTGAACACTGACAGATTGGCTTAATGTGTGTCTAAAACACTGCACATGTGAATTTAAATGTTTTTACAGTGTTTCTTGAGATGATGAGACAATAGCAGCTGTAGCCTTTTGAGCTTTAGAAATTAGGGAACCTTTTTTGTTTGGGTTTTTTTTTTTCAGTGCAAGCAATGTGAAGGACTCCTCAGTGGTGTTCAGCACCCCGTATGTTCTCTATAACTTTAAGTCCCGCTAAACCTCAAATTTTTGTTTAACTATAGCAAAAAATGTATTTTGTATCATTCCTTTAGTAAAACCAAATATTTAGTGCATGCATGAGGAGTACCATGCATTGTATTTCAAAAGCAGGTGTGATGTTTTGCTTTTTAACATAAGAGATTTCTTGCATTTTAGCCAAATTGCTGGAGGCAAGCCCCTGACTGTGGAGGTGGCAGGAGTGGAGTACATGAACGATGACCCTGCCATGACAGATGTCCTTTATGCCAAAGTCCGCATGAAGGATGGTTCGGACAGGTATGTTCCCCATGGTCCTTTCTTTTATTCCTCCTCGCTGTGCCAGAGAAACCCTCTGCTGTCTGAAGCTGGTGGGTATTGCTAGCGGTCCTTGGGCTGGCAGTCAGGAAGATGAAGTTCTTCTTGCTTCCTAAACCGGTTAAGGCAGTAATGTGTTTGCTCTTTAAATCAGTCACTGGTGGCACAGCTGAAAGATGTCATTTGTTTCTGTAGCAGTCTGTCAGATTGAATAATGGTGTCGTGGCTTGTGCAGCAATAAGATGGCCAAGGAGATGCTCCTGAGATGACTTAGGAGGCAGGACAACTTGGCCTCTGCTGTCTAGTTCCCAGCCTGCAATCCAGATTAATCTGGACACCTTGGCATATTCTGTAGCACTTAATTATTCTTAAAACCCAGTTACACCAGAAGGTCCTCTGAAAAGCATGCCTTGGTTACAGAGTTGGTTTTTGTTTCTGTAAGCAGCCTGGATCCGTCTTCTGAGCTGCTGGGGTGACATCTCAAAGCCTGGTTGATGTCAGTATGTGCGTGTGTGTGCCATTTGACACTGTGGCTGGTGGCTTTAGCTCTACAAACAGTGCTGCCCGGGATGTGGCAGTGTCTGGACAACCTTCTTCCATCTCATTTTTGACAAGTACGTCACCAGTGGCAGCACCATCTTTTCTCTTAGTGCTTTCTGGAAGACTGGGGAAATGTGAGAGCTGTTGTACTCTGTGCTGCCGGTTGTGGGGTGGGTGAGAAAGAGGGTATGGGGGTAGCCAAAAGAATTTTAAAATTCTCTCAGCCTCAGCTTTCTCTTTTTCCTGGCCATGCTGCCCTTTTGTTGTCTGTTCCCATTGCTAGAGGACAGCAGGAGCTAGCAGAGGAGCATGGAGGGGTGCAGCTGGAGGAGAGAGGCTGTGAGCAGGACGGGCTCACGGAAAGAAGGGACGTGTTCTGGCATCTCCTTTCCCCAAGGGCTGAGGAGACAAGGGGGGGCCCCTACTTAAAATCAAACTTTGGAGGAGATTGGAAGTGGGATAAGGAAATGGGTGGGAAAATGAAAATGGAGGAATTGCTGGGAGGCGGTAGGAGTTCAAATCTTTTCCTCTTCTCGGCTCTTCCACTTTGAAGTCTGTCCTACCCTGAAAGAGGTGAGATAAAACAAACGGGACGGGTGGAGAACTGGGACAAGCTAGAGATCATCCAGGAGACAGAAGCATGGGGAGGAACAAGGCTGAAGCACTCAGAAAGACGAGACGAAGGCAGACACCGAATGACCCAAATGCCCTTCCGTGGGTTTGTTGGAAAAAGCATTCAAAATGTCAGCTCTGATAGCTGAGGTGTGGGCTTCTCTTGTCCCAAGTCTTCGAGCTCTGGATCATCTCTGAGGTGCAGCGCTTGTGAGTCTGCTTGCATCGGAAAATAAGTCTGTGACGTGAGAGGCTGGTAGAGAAATCCTGTAGAGTCTTAAGAGGGCCTAAAGTGAGGCAGTGATGTCTGCCTGCTTCTGGGGACAGCGTGAATTGTTGGTACGAGCACTGTGCTCTGTGTCAGATGCCAGCTGTAGCCGTTTTGCTGAGAACCCACTTAGCCATAACGCTAGTAGAAAATGCTGATGTGCATTAGGGGTGGCAAGGCTGCTTTTGGTAGGGGAGAGAATTAAGGTCTTTAAATCCAATTCTCCTTGAAACTGAAAATGACCCCCCCCAAGGAGAGACTGATGTCTCCTCTGACCTTCACAGAGGTCTGTTAGCTGAGGTTTTGACCAAACCCAGATCTTGTGCTTTGCATGGCACCTTGAGGCTGCCAGCTCTTCCGCAAAACCTGTTTTGCTTTTTGCATAACAGCGTGCTCAGAGAGGGCCAAGCAATTATAAATTTTTATCCTTGGCCCAGGTCAGTCCTGTCCTCACGTGCAAATTAATTCATCTGGCACTTCTCCCCTAATATAATTCCTTAACTAACTGTTAGCAAGCATCTAGAAAACATTTAGCTTTGCAGAGGGGAAAGAAGGTATTTTTGTGCAGATGGAGAACAGTGAAAGTTTCTTTTGCTGCCTTTGAGATTCCAGCAGACACAGCGTCAGGTGATTATAAAGAGGGGATAAATGATGATCACTCCAGAAAACTTCACTTTATTTTCTAGTTGCTGAGCAGCAACATGTACCTCTTGCCTGCTAAAACCTGTTGTGCTTTGCTTAGGGAAACGGGGAAAGCAGGCAGAAAGCAGATTTGCCAGCTGCAAGGCCAGTACTAAAGGAGAGGGCAGCCACATGGTTTGCCATGCTGGATCAGACTGCTGCAGCCTGCGTTTAAGAGAGGTGTGTGCCTTCCTGTCTCATGCGAGACATTTTGCTAGCTCTGTGTAGTTCCTGGCATGGCTGAGGGGTGGAGTTTCCTTCCTGATCTTTGGATGATCTTGATGAGCTTAAGCTATAAAGCAGGAGATTTTATTTCCCCTGATTTAGCTTGCATAACTGCAGACAGAATTAGGGGTTGGCAAGGCCTTCTGCACATATAATGGCTCAGACTGAGGGAGGGATCATGCTCTGATGCTTCCCACGTGGCAAATAATTTCCATTATAATTCATTCTAATTTGTTTTATTTCCTTGATTAGCTTTATAACGTAATAAAGCACCATTTTCACTTGAGCTATTCTCCGTTAATTTGTTTTAGTATTGTCTGTAATGATATTCATTTAATCTTTGTCATTGCTAATTTTAAAAATCACTGATGTAAAGCCAGAAAGTACTAGAAAGCTGTGACGATTGGTAGTTTGGGTCTCAAAATCCTCACATGGCGTCTGGCAGCCTGTGAGGAGCAGTACACAGGGTAGGAGCCAGCATCTGGAGCTTGTCAGCCCTGGGCTCTGGGGGCCAGCCTCAGCAAGACCATGCTCTGCCTCTCCCGCTGCAGCAGAGAGGCCAAAGTGGTGGCACCTGGAGGGGCAGAGAGCTGTCTGACCCCTTGGACACGGTAAGAGAAGTCCAAATTCTTCTGCATTGCATAAAATGCTCTTGCATTGTGATCACCAGGGAAGCTTTGCGAAACAGACAGAACTTTTTGCATCAGAACTGAATCCTGATGGCTGTGTTCACTTTCCATCAGAGACGAGCTCCCTTTCCCCGTGTACGTGCAGAGACTTCATTTCACACATGCTGCCCTCCCTGGTTGAAAAGCAAGAAGCTTACTGTGCAAGGGTTTCTCTGTGGTTTACCCTGCTGTGTTATTTCTCTTTTTGTCTCGCCAGACTGCAGGTGATTGCTGATCAACTGGTGGAAAGGTTCGTGGCCTCCAGCCTGATGCTTAAAGAATGGGATAGGGTGAAACTGCACGCTACAGTCATGAACACGCTCTTCAGGAAAGATCCAAGCGGTGCGTATCCCTCGTCCTTACTGGTAAATGCGTTTAAAGTAGTACCTCTGAGTGGAAATGCTTTTGATTTTGTGATTTTTTTTCTTAGTCTCAAAAATACCCACAAAGTTGTGTGGGGATGTCACTAAATAAAACGCAGAAGAAAACAAAAAAGCAGAGTTGGAGAAGGCAGGCATGCTTTGAGCACTTTCTGGATGTTTGCTAAGATTCTTTGTCATAGTTTCAGAGACACTATCACCCAGTAGCACTCTTAAGATCCAGACCAGAGAGGAATGCATTCAAGTACCATGTAAGGCCTTGGCCTTTCTGTGCCCCAGCGTTAAACTGAAATTCAGTAACAACTCCATGTGCTGTGCTGACCTTTAAACAAGATGAAAATGTGATCCTCTCTGGCCAAGTTAAAGATTGCCCCTTGGTTTAGGAACACGATTCCAGTGTCTTTCTCATTCAGTGAGATTCAGACGGCTGCAAGGCTGAATATGAGCTATTATTGGGTGCAGAGTGTCTGCTGACAAAAGATTGTCTGCTCTGGCAGTCTATAGCATTGTTCTTATCGCAGTACTTTATGAAGCAGCCTCAGATGCGTTGCACTCAGGGAGGGGCAGTGTGTCACAGCCTTGTTCTCCACATGCAGACCTGCATAAGGTTTGTCACTCGTGTGTCATTTGCAAGCCTTAACAGCATTGCACTAAATTTTCCTAGTTTTCTCTGGCGCAGTGGCCTCTGCACCATGCTGATAAGTTATGTCAAGTATTCTCCAGTCTCTGTACGGACAGCAGTAACAGGAGGTGGTTTGTATTGTAGTTTTCTGTGCACCCAGCAGCAGACTTTGGGGATGGCTGTTACTGAAGTCAGATAAATGTACTCAGGTGGTAGAAACCCTGAAAAGACAGGGCTTAGCTCTCTCAAACTGAGCCCTAAAAAATGATGAAAATGCAAGCCCAAAGTGCTGATGTGGCTCTCTGTCCGGGAAGGCACACAGGCAGCCACATCTGAATATGAGTCTATATTCTGAGCAACCCCACAAGGCATGTGAGGCATTCAGACAGCGGTGACACAGATAGCCACAGAAATCACTTTATATTCAGTACAGGATTTGAATAGCATGCTAGGTGTGAGTGGGACTTCATCGTTAATGCTGGAGATGAAAAAGAAATATTGAATATATTCGCTAAGTGAAGCAGAGGTCCTGTGGAAAGAACAGGTCATGTACTTAGGGATTATATAAAAATCCAGACATGCTCCAGGAAATGGATGTAAGATGTAGGCATTTGGCATTTGCTGCAGGCCTGGGTTGCTATTCTGAATGGCTGTGTGCGTGGCTGTGTGCCCACCCCGCAGAAGCATACGTACCACACGTATGTGCTTCCCAGAGTAGGCAGCAGAGGTTTGTATAGGTGCTGTCAGGATCGCTCCTGGCATCGTGCTCACATGCTCAGTCTGGTATTTGGTGCTGTTCCAGGCAACACAAGTGCTCACAGTGCTGACTCTCACCCTGCAGGATGTGGGATTAAAATAATCCAGAAAGGTGCAGATGTGTTGCACTGAGCCATCAGCCCTACAGCAGCTACGATTTAGGGTTTTTCCTCCATGTAACATAGGTGATCCCCACAGAGGCACCATTTCCTGCGTGTTCAGCCTTGTTCCCTTTAAAATCAAAGGGGAAGTGGTTTGTGTTTTTTTTTGCACTAAGAACTAGGCAAAGATGGTTTATTAGCTGGCAGCTGACTTTGGGGAGGGAGAGGGTGGGGGGTGAAGTACAGCACACCCAGTTCTCCCATCTGAAGCTCATTCTGGTGGTGGCTTTTCTCTTGACAGCTGAAGAGCGAAACAATACAGTGACTGGTAAATCATCCTTCAAGGAACGGGAGTCGTTTGATGGCCGAAATATCCTCAAGGTCAGTATGAAACAATTAGGGAAATGGAGCCAGCTGTGGATATCGTATAGCATAAAGAGGTTGAAACACCTCTTCAAGACTGCTTTTGTCTTAGGCTTATGGGATTTCCTGAGGAGGTGAAATCTGTTTAGAAATTAAACAATCCAGATCACTTATAATTGGTGGCATTACAGTATTTAACAGAAGCATTCTTAAAGCTGGTGAGGCTCAGATCAGGAGTATGTAGCACGAATGCTAAGTGGGTGTTCGTGTTGTCGTTTACTTTGCTGGTGTTTTACCCGGGAGACTCAGGCTCATGTCGATTCTCAGCCCACTAGAAAGGAGTACTTTGTTGGTCTTGTTCTACTCATATATATTTATGAAACTAAACCGGACTGCTATTTCACTTACTCTTTTTTTTTTTTTTTTTTTTTTTTTTAAAACGTCTGCTATTGATTTGCATGGTTTTGCTCCAGAAAAATAGCAGATAGCGGCAGGGAGTCCCACCAGCCAGGATCTGAGGGCTTTGGCAGTGATCAGAGGGTAGACAGCAAGATCCCCAAGGCCATGGAGGTGGGTAAGGCTCAAAGGGGAGCATCCTGCAGCCTCCCAGGCTTTGCCAGCCAGGGCTGAGACCATAGGCAGGCTCTGCTGCTCGTCCAGATGGCAGTGTCAGACTGATGCTGTGACACTTGGCCCATGAGAGTGTCCAGAGAGAAAAGACAGGCACAGAGAAGCAGAAATGGCAAACAACACTGGTTTGCAAGCAAATTTGCAATCCTCATTGTGTGAGGGGATTTGTTGCAGGCAGCTCTGATAAGAGGGAGACGGGACAATGCCTGAATACATTTGGGAACCCATAGGAGATATTCTGGCAACAAGACATGGGAGAGGATGCAGGCTGGGCCGGAGTTGGATAGACGAGAAGGATTTTAAGGCACCAGAGGAGGGAAGGCGTGCATTTTATCAGTGTTTACATTTTTGCTGTATAATGCATTAGGCAATGGCTGCATGGGGATCTGAAGGCAGGGAGTGGAACTGATTGATCTCCTCTGCACAGAGGACAAACAAAGGGACAGAATTAGGTTAAGCTCTCATTGTCCTCAAACGGGCTGTGCAAGCGCAGTGTCGTGACTCAGCATCGCCGCATGTTGAGGGTTCGGTGTGAGACTGCAGCATTGCAAACTGAAACAGGAAGGCCACGGACGTGGTCCCTTTCTTAATGTGATCTGCGAGTGTTGGTTAGCTCCTGGCATCAGAGCCAGGCTCCAGAAGGGGAAGGTGGTATATGGCAGGAGCCCTGAGTGCCTGCAGGGACTCAGCTTTCAAGGCGTACACCCACATTTCACTTTGCCCTTTGTTCCTTTCTCTTGCATCTGTTAAACTTGTCCTCAGACTTCAGAGAGACATAAAATCCAACTGTCAGTCTTCCTTCATGCTCCTCATCCAAAACCATTTACATTTTGAAAGGCGTTAATGATACTCCCTTTACTGGTCACACCATTGTGGACTGTATTGTGGGGTCTTGTGGTGCTTAGAAATGCAACTGCCCTCCCTCCGGTGGCTACTTCTGACTCTTGCTGCTCTCTGAAATCTGAGGCAATGCATTGTTAAAGCTCCTAATTGATTTTGTACTGATGTAGCCAAAAGAGCTGCTGGCTGTTTGGGCTGTTGATAATTACTTCAAAGCATGTCTTGCCGCAAGAAGTGTCATCCTTCTCCCTCCACCTCCGCTACTTTTTCTAACCTGCTCGCTTCATATTTCCCTTCGGTGTCCCACGTGCCTGCAGCAGAACGCCCGTTGGCATTAATTAATTACATGAGTCATAAATAGCTCCAGGCTTCTTACCAGAGGAGCCCAGGCTCAGCCAGCCACTGATGCATTCTAGCATGACCTTGCAAGGATGCGCCAGTTCCCTCCCAGCCCCATTTATATACATTATTTATCTTCTGCTCAGGGAGGCTGCCATCTCGCAAAGCGGCTTCATTAACTTTTGCAATAGGATCTAAACGACGGACTGATAATGAATGTGGCTGCAGTTAGGCAGGCTGGCTTGTGGATGCCGTGTCCCCTTGTCGGTAGGATGATGTGCCCTGCATGTGTTTGCAGGCGATGGGACTCTGTGACAGCCGTGGTAGGTGGCAGCATTTGCACTTGGAAAGCTGACAAAGCACGGCTACTAGAAGGGCATCAAGTCAGAAAACTCCGGATTCATCGCTCTCATTCCCGTTGTGCAGCTACGACTGGTGCTGTTGGGCCAAAGGCTTTGCCTAGCAGAGGGCAGGACCTGAGTATCAGAGCACGATGGAGATGTCTTGGCTTGCTGTCCCAGGCTGTGGCTCCCCGTGGTCAGAGCTGGTGTGTGTGTGCAGATGCACTGGCAGCACATGTTTGCTGATAGCATGCTGGCGTTACCCCAGGCTCCAGCTGGTATTTTGCTTTTAGCAGAATGAATCGGAACTTTATTTAATAATCCTTTTGTTCTACCCATTCCGCAGAGTTAAATATCCCCTCCTATTTGTGCTAATAAATGGTTGTGAAGGCCGGTACCTTCCCACACTGCTCAGAAAATAGATTCTGTAGGATGAGTTGCATTTGGGAGTTTAAATTACATCTGTCTTGAAGAGTATCCATGAAAAAGGCTCCCTGGCCTGGCTGGTGCTGAAAGCGCAAGGCAGTGTATGCCCCAACAGCTGAGTGATTTGCGTCTCCCATGGCAGAAGCGCTAGACGCTTCAACATCATGCTTTTCTAGTCCCAAAAAGCTGAGGGTGCTTTGTGAACCGCTTCATGTGGAACAATACGAATTTCTTCTAGGTGGCTAGTAGTTAGCTGAGCGACTCCTTTCAACATCTGACTCACGTACCCAACTCTTGCTCCGCTTGGGAACAAAGTGGGTCATCTCCATCAATTCACAGCTGAAAAGACAGCAGCAGCTCCTTCCCCATGAGAGAAGGGTCAGGCCGGGTGGGTGGCCGGGCCTCGGGGAGATGCTGGTTTGGCAGCTCCTCTGCCTTGCCTCCTCCTGCGTCCTCCCGGGCAGTGGCTGCGTGCCCTGCGTCGCAGCTGGCCAAGCAGCACAGTCCTGGCACAGAGGCGGCTGGGGCAGCTGCCTGCCTCTCCAGAGACAAG